AAGGGGCGTGTAGTGGTGGGAGTTAGTCCAGAATTTCCTGTAGAGGGGGTTTCTTTCATTTTGGGCAATGATTAGGCTGGGGGTAAAGTGTTGTTGAATCCTGAAGTAACTGCGGTTCCTCTTTCTGAACACCCAGATGATTTGGGGCAAAAATTCCCGGAGGTGTTTTCAGTTTGCGCGGTCACACGCGCAATGTCAAAGAGGCAGAAGCAGGATTTGCTTGATGAGGTGGATGAGGTAGGATTGGCGGGCACTTTCATGGCCGATCCTGGCTGTCCGGTCTCTCCGCCAGCAATCTCTCCTCCTGCTCATCCTCCTCCACCTGTGGTCACTCCTGCAGCTTCAGTTGTTTCCTCTCCTGTTGAGGGGGATAGCTCGAAAGTTTGCATGTCACGAGAGCAGCTCATTGTTGAACAAAAAGCTGATGTGTCGTTAACTCCTTGTTTTGATGTGGTTGTTCCAGGGGACGAAGTTGAGACGATGTCCTCTGGGTACTTTTTGAGAGACGGCGTGCTTGTGCGCAAATGGACGCCGCCACACATGTCCACGCAGGATGATTGGGGTGTTGTGACACAAATTGTAGTCCCAAAAACACACCGGCATGAAATCCTCAAATTGGCTCATGATAACCCACTTGCTGGCCATTTAGGGGTTAACAAAACATATGATCGTGTCTTGAGGTGTTTTTTCTGGCCGGGGGTGAAGCAGGATGTGAAGCAGTACTGTAAAACATGTCATCTCTGTCAAGTCTCTGGTAAACCTAACCAGACAATTCCACCATTTCCCCTTTATCCAATTCCAGTGGTTGCTGAACCCTTTGAGCGTGTTATTGTCGATTGTGTTGGTCCCTTTCCGTGCACAAAAGCTGGGAATAAGTTCCTTCTGACAATTATGTGCTCCGCGACTCGGTTTCCTGAAGCCATTCCCATGCGTAAAATCACAGCTCCAACTGTTGTGAAAGCATTGGTGAGGTTTTTCTCGTTGTTTGGGTTGCCTAAGGTGATTCAAACTGATCAGGGATCCAATTTTATGTCGCGAATTTTTGCACAAGTGATGAAGCAACTTAACATCACTCACTGTTGTTCAAGTGCATATCACCCAGAAAGTCAGGGGGCGATTGAGCGTTTCCATCAGACTCTAAAGTCGATGCTCCGCACATACTGCCTGGAGTCCAGTAAGGACTGGGATGAGGGTGTCCATCTCCTCCTTTTTGCTGCTCGTGAGGTAGTTCAGGAGTCCCTGGGCTTTAGCCCGGCAGAGCTGGTGTTTGCGCACACTGTGCGTGGCCCTCTTAAACTTCTGCAGGAGAAATGGCTGGGTGATAGCGAGCCACAGAATCTGCTTGATTATGTCAGCAATTTCCGTTTCAAGCTTCACCGCGCCTGTGAATTGGCGAAGCAAAACATGTCTGTTGTTCAAACGAGAATGAAAAGGTGGTTCGATAGAAACGCTAAAAGTAGATCTTTCAGTCCTGGCGACAAAGTGTTGGTGTTGTTGCCTATTCCTGGTTCTGCTTTGCAGGCGCGTTATAGCGGCCCCTATATAGTCCAGGAAAAAGTGAGTCAGCGGGATTACATTGTTGCTACCCCAGACCGTCGACGGCGGAGTAGACTGTGTCACATTAACATGTTGAAGCCCTACCTGGACAGAGATTCTGTCCCTTTGTCTTCTGTTTGTGCAGATGGCAAAACTGTTTTGGCGCTGTCCAGTGCTGAATGTATTGATGAGGCTCAGGTAGCCGGGGCGCTGTCCAGTGCTGATCTCAAAGAGACACCGGCGGTTTCAGCCGTGTCTGACGTTGATGATGTTGGTCCGTCCAGTGCTGTTGTCCAAGGACGTTTGAAAAATTCTGAAATGTTGTCCAAGCTCGATGAGTGTTTTCTGCATCTGACTCAGTCACAGCATGAAAATGTGGTAAGTGTAATAAAATCTCACATTTCTTTGTTTTCAGATGTGCCGACTCGGACTCACGTGCTGCAACATGACATCGATGTGGGGGATTCTCCACCGATAAAGCAGCACGCGTATAGAGTCAATCCCGATAAGCGCCTCCATTTACAACAGCAGGTAAATTATATGCTTGAAAACGATATCGCAGAACCCAGCTCTAGCTCGTGGAGTTCGCCGTGCCTCTTGGCTGACAAGTCTGATGGCTCTGACCGGTTCTGCACAGATTTTCAGAAAGTGAATGGGGTCACGAAGCCAGATTGTTATCCTTTACCCCGAGTTGAGGATTGTGTTGATCATGTCGGCAGTGCCAATTATGTGACAAAACTTGACCTGTTAAAAGGGTATTGGCAGGTGCCGCTGACTCCTCGGGCAAGGGAGATCTCTGCATTTGTGACCCCTGACGCTTTCTTACAGTATACGGTTATGCCATTCGGCGTGCGTAACGCACCTGCTACATTTCAGCGTTTGGTAAACACGGTCTTGTCGGGCTTGTCAGGGTGCGAGGCCTATTTGGACGATATCGTGGTTTATTCGAGTTCGTGGGACGATCACATGCAGCAGCTTCAGGCAGTGTTTGGAAGGCTGCGTGATGCCAACCTCACACTCAATTTGGCAAAGTGTGAGTTTGGTCAAGCTACAGTGACGTATTTGGGAAAAGTTGTGGGTCGGGGGCAAGTAAAGCCGGTGCATTCTAAAGTTGAAGCGATTCTGTCGTTCCCTGCCCCTGCTTCACGCCATGAGCTACGCCGTTTCTTGGGGATGGCGGGGTACTACAGAAGCTTCTGTAAAAACTTCTCGGCTGTTGCGGCTCCGCTCACTGATCTGTTGAGTCCAAAGACTCTCTTCCATTGGTCTGACAGTTGTCAGCGTGCGTTTGACTGTGTAAAAGCCTTGCTAACTCATGCTCCAGTCCTGGCTGCGCCCACATTTGATCGTCCGTTTAAAATGTCTGTTGATGCGAGTGATGCGGGGGCGGGTGCTGTGCTCCTTCAAGATGGAGATGATGGGGTGGAGCATCCAGTCTCCTATTTCTCAAAAAAATTTAATCCGCATCAACGTGTGTACTCTACTATTGAAAAGGAGGCTCTCGCGCTTATCTTGGCACTCAAACATTTTGAAGTTTATGTCGGCTCTGCTAGTGCGCCCGTTGTTGTGTACACTGACCACAACCCTCTTGTGTTTATTCATCAGATGCGAAACGCCAATCACAGGCTCATGCGCTGGGCACTATTTTTACAGTCTGTCAATGTGGAGGTCGGGCACATCAAAGGCCGAGAGAATGTCCTGGCCGACACACTGTCCAGATGTTAGTGCGTGAATGATGTTCGCGGCGCTTTCCCCCCATTCACGTTTTTAGGGTGGGGGTGTGATGTGCAGCAGCCTGTTCTCTCTCTCTCTGTCAGCCTGGTCTCCCTCCACCCTCTGCCTGCTGTGCACCTGAGGGCAATCTGCACTCAGGTAGAGAGAGGAGGAGGGGATAAGAGGGACAGGGAGAGTAGAGACAGTGCTCGGCACACGGCACAGACACCAGCACAGGTGGTGAGGAGTTTTTCCCTCTTTTCCTCCTTTGTTTCTTTCCCCAAGCAGGTTTTCCCCCCATGCTCATTTAGGAGCTGG